TTAAGCTCGGGAGCACGATCGGACAGGCCAAGGTAACAAGATTGTATTCGATAGAGAGCTAAGCTCTCGGCTACGTAGCTATCTATATACAATGCTGGTTGCTAGGGTAACAATCGGGCCAGGCAGGTGGAGTAAACGAGGTCGTAGACGAGTATGGGAGGCGAAGGGCGTTCAGCCCGTTACAGTTATCTAGAGCATCTGCGCTACGGGATACGCTACTTTGCTATTTATTATCTACAAAGGACGCGTCTACATTTCTATATAGTACGAAAAAGCGGATATACTATACAACTAGAAGCTTTTAGTATTAGAGAATAGCTAGATAAATAATAAGCTTAGTCTCGCGTAGTTAAAGCACTTTAATAAGCATATAAAGACGCGTTAAATAGAGTTATATAGGCTACTTATTCTTAATAGCTATAAGAGCCACCTTAACTAAAAATTTAAGAATTACTGCTTCGTACAAAAGATCCTTACGCTCTATATACTTACTTATTTATCGAATATACTTTAGCTACTTAACGTTATCTACTTTTTACCTCTTAAGTAAAAGTACTTTTAACACGTATAAGACTTAGTACGCTACTATGTCTAGCATATTAATAAAGAGCGCTTCCTTCTAGCCTTTTAAGACGCGTTTTTTAACGTGTTTACGTCTAATAACTATAAGAAGGCCTCTAAGGTAGTAGGGCTAGTCTCTATTAACGCGTAAAGAGTTATTAATTGCTTCAACGTACGCCTTTATACTCTACTATAAGAAGCTTAGCTAGAAATACCCTAGATGTTAAGAACACTAAGTAATTTGCATGAATTTAGTTTATAATTAAAGCTTATAAGAGAGTCTTTTATACAATTACTAACTACTATATAAGAAGGCTTTTTAAAGCTTATTAAAGGGGCCAAGGAGATGCTATATAAGAATGTGCTTATAAAGGCCTGCGTAAGAGAGCTTAAAGAGCAATTAGCAGTAGTAACAAAGCGCCAAGGGCGCAAAAGAAAGCGAATTCAGACAGGTGGGACACTAGACTTTGGTGCAGGGGCATCGCAGGTAGTTAAAAGTAGTTCTGCTAGTTGTACGACATTAAAGAAGGCACGTAGTAAGGGTAGTTAAGAAAGGGCCTTACTAGGTTAATAGCACTATAGAACCTATAGGAGGATAGGCTATAACTCTTGTACGTGCTAGAAAGATATAGAAGAAGATTCTTTTTTAGATATAAGTAAGTTGTATAAAGCATCTATAGCTAGTGTAGAGTAATCTAAGTTTTTGTATATAAAGTTCGTGATGCTAAGAAAAAGTGGCACACTTAGTGATGTGGCCCGCTCGGTGATGGAATACGTTATATAGAATAAATTAGTGAATATATAAAGTAATAGAATATCACGTGTTTGAAAAAATGAAAAAAACCTTTATTTTATAGCTTTAAAGTACCTGATAGTAACTATTAGATGCTAATAACTAGGTATTATATTATTTAGTAATGTCTTTAGGTATACTTCTTTATTATACTTATAAAAGCCTTATCCTAGTCTAAATTATAATAGAAGTAGAGGTAGCTAGATCTTGAATATAGCTTTGTATATGCTCTATCTACTTTTTTAAATATTTGATTTAACAATCAGTGACCTTTTTTAAGTACAGTTTATTTTGGTCTCCCCCTATACTGTACAGGTAGGAATCGAGTTCCTACTATGTAGATCGTCGTCATATCCCCTCTCCTAACTTATTAAATTTAATATGCCCATTCCTCACACCATTTCAACATCAGCTGCGACGTGATACCCTGCGTCTCACTCATAGTCCTGCTCCCTAGTATAGTCTTGTTGTCCATATTTTGCCTGATAAACTTCATAATTTGTTTCGCCTCGGTATCGGTAAGCTCCGTTGTGTCCAGAAGAAAGTCCAGGAGCTCAAGGGCGGGATTTTCTACAACGTTTTCGTCACTGCCAGCACTGTGCTGGAGCAGGTTTACCCATTCTTTCCAAGTGACAAGCTTTGTGACACGTGTACCATAGTATTGAGCAACGTGGCTAGCTATATGTGTCCAGGACGTGATATTTGGGTTAACGCAGTAGAAATAGCCGTTAATTTGCGCTAGCGGGCGTGATGTTGTTATGCCGGTAAGCTCGAGGACAGTGCTGGCCACACGATCGACTGGCATCCACTGGATGTCGTTCATCGGGCCCAAATCACTAGGAAGTACCCCTAGCTTTTTCACAGATGATCCAATCACGCTTGGAAGCCATTCCTTCTTCTCCCAAATCATCCCCGGGCCAGGGCCCTCGTGTCCAGAGATCTGGCCGATTCGGATGGTACATGTCGGAATACCGCATAATTTCGCGGTAGAATCCAGCACGCGCTCAGCAATGAGCTTGCTGCGACCGTATCCCGTCGTTGGAGTCTCAAGGTCGTCCTCCTTGTCGGTGATCTTGGTCCCTACCGCGGCAAGGATACTGGAGAGGAAGATGATAGGTACTTTATGGTTTGCATGGGCGCTGAAGTCAACCAGGCCACGGACACCCTTGATATGGACCTCGAAACTCTCTACGGCCAGCTTGAAGTTCACAGCCCACTGGGCATGAATCACCCGATCGACTTCATTCAGCAGGCGCTTGTATGTGTCGTAACCGAGGCCAAAGTCTTCCTTGCTCAGATCAGCTTGCAAGAACTCAGCCTTATTCAAGCTGTCCAATCCGAGTTTCCTGCACATTTCCTCCTGTCGCGCCTTAGCATTTGCCGATCGGTTCAGACAGATGATTTTGTGGACACGTGTATTACGGGACATTAGGGTCAATAGATAGGTACCCAGCCTTCCGGTGGTTCCTGTGATCAAGATAACCTGTCCGGATTCTCGTGGTTCTGATTTCGATTCTGCCGGATGAGGCAGGTCATGGCTGTACTTTGAAAGTAGCGTCTGGGTTATGCGGAGCTTTTGTGCCTGGTACTTGCTCTCATCGCTTGAAGTTTCTTGTTTTTGGATCAACCGCGAGTACAAATCTTGTGCCAACCGTGTCGTTGTAGGGTTAGTGTAGATATTCCGAGCTATGATAATTTGTTGTGGTGGCAAGTTGATGCCGGCAGCCTCGAATCCTCCGCGCAAGAGACGAATTACCTCCATCATTTGTAAAGAGTCCATTCCTGCGGCAAAGAAATCCGTATCCGCTTGAATATTTGCTACGTCCAGGTTCAACCTCAAGACAGACAGGATTGAGTTAGCGAGGTTTTCGCTCGAGCTGGTATCCAACGTGGGCGCTAGTTCAGGTTTGACCGTCTCTGCCTGGCTGTAAAGCTCATTGATTTCTGCCTCATACAATTGAATGGCAGCGCGGCGTCGGATAGTCCCTTTGTCCAATCGTGGGAAGGGTTTCTTTGGACTGGCAAGTGTAATTAAGTGGCGACTTATCCTGCCATTAGTCACGGTATCTTGGTTTATGCTCGAAATCATGGGCCAAATTTCTTCGATAAATTTGTCGGCTTCAGTCTGGTTCGTGATAACAACGGCAGCCTCTAATAGTAGCGCAGGCTGTGGCCTCGACGCACCGACCACTATTGCGGCAGAAATTTTCGGATGGCCTATAAGTCGGCCCTCAATAGGAACCGGATTGAGTTTCTCCCCGTTGCTGAAAACGATGGTTTCGTCAACTCGGCCGTGAAATTTCCAGTGATCAGGCTCTGTCGGGTGCTTCATGAAGAGATCCTTCGTTCGGAATTGCGAGAGATGCGGCATCTGATAGAAAACAGCCTGCATACCAGGATTTTCATCCTTACGATGAATGACCAACTCAAACAAGTTACTGGAATCGTCGAATGGAATCCATTCTGCCCCCAAGATGTCCGAGTTAATAATGATCCATTCCCACAAGGCATTATTGTTCTGCCAGTAGAACGGGAAGGCAGATACCCTGTAAGGTGATCAAATAGTCAGTATTGCTCTCAACAGGATGTTCTTGGTACGGAAACTTACTCTGTAGATCCAACGGAATTGTGAAGCACAACACCATTTTCTACGAGGCGATTCCCTGCGTCGGAGGCTAGAGGACCTACGCATGTCATAAATCAGCATTCGTCTTGTACACAGAACTTTTACTGCCTTACCGCCGCCAAATCCGACAAACGTCATCTGTTTTAGCTGCTCAATTGCTTCGGGCTTGGTACTCAAATCCTCCAAGAAAAAAGGTGGAAGAAAGACAGCATCAGACTTTGAGCAAGCCACCATCTCTAAACTTGATTCTGGGGTGATCATCGCGGACGGCATCGTCAAGGCGACTGGCACCTTCCAGAATATGATGCCGAAAAATCCGTACATGCCGCTAGCGTGTGACAAAGGCACTTTGACAAAATTAGCAACGCTCGCGATGTCTTACAAATGCCCGTCATCGGTGTTTCCTTACATGGTATAAAGAGTCTCTTTGCTGCAGTGTAGCCATGGAGGAAGATTCTACGACCCTTCCATTCAGGTAGTGTCTGATACATGTGACTGATACAGAAGATGGCCTGGGAAGCGACTATAGGTTTTGGAAAACCTGTGCTGCCGCTTGTGTGAAGCACTACGAAAGGCTCAAGCTTTCCTTTCTGGAAAGGTCGATTGTAAGGAACTTCAGGTACTGGTGTGGCATCGAGCCAGCCATCGATCGTTCCACTGACAACTCCTTTCATGGACCACTTTTCAAGCCACGTCGCGACAGCAGATGTCATCGCGCTATCATAGAAGATGGCGACACATTTAGTTTCCTTGAATAAATGTAGTTGATCGGCATCTGGATTGCGAGGCGAGGGTAATAGAGCCTAAGCGACAACGTTAAAATTATCATTAGGGAGCTGAGAAAAGAGGGAGTTGGAGAGAGGTCGAATGGGCCAAGAAAAATTACCTTGTAACCAGCTTTGACGGCAGCGACGACAAATACAAGGTACCGACAGTCATTTGGTCCAATATACGCAATGGTGGGGAAAGTATCGGACTTAGCCAGGCCGCATGCATCAATGATTTCTTGTGCAACTCGATTGATAGCATTCGCATAGCGTGACCAAGAGATCTCGGTCCAACCATCCGCAGGGGAATTGGTTCGAGGGATAGAAAAGCACTCCTCTGACGAATGTGTCTTGGCCATTTCATCGAGAAAATTAGGGACAAGGATTTCTTCCTTGGTTTGCTTGGGAGTAGGTGTTGTCATGATTGATGTATGTTAATACTGTGTAAGCGTATGAAGGGAATCTAAGTTTGGAGAAGGGGAGCGGGTAGATGATCATCTTTATTTGGTGCACATAAATCAACTTCTCCCAATGTGACCGCTGTACATAGTACTGATTGTACGAAAATCACAGGGGTATATTTTTAAGGTGGGTCTCATGGCTATTGGTATGTACAGAGGTGAGACGGGTAATTAATCAACCCCAGTCAGCCACATGCCGGAGAGTGCGATGGACAAAAGCAGTGTATTGAACTAGTTCTACGGAGTACTCCGTACATAATGTCCTTCACTATGTGCCAAAAACCCCTGTGTGCCGAAGACCCCTGTGTGCTAAAAATCCCTGCGTGCTAAAATGGCCGATTGGATCAAAACGGCTAGACAGATATGAATGGTGTTTTCTAAGCACAATTGGCGCACAGGGGGTAAAGTTTCTTTCCGCGGCTCCGGTCAGACTGCGCGCTTTTTTAAGTGGGGCGCAAGTACAAGTCAAGAAAAGCGAGACGTGTCTATAGGCAAGAGTTAAACAACCCACCACTAATAGCTATTTTACCCACCTTAAAGCTAGGTTCTACATTAGAGGCGCGGCATCTAAACTATATAGAGTTAGCACTATAATTAAATAACTTAACTCTTTTTTTATAACTTACTAAGTAGCTAGATAGTACCTAATTAGTATAGAGCGCTAATGTTATATCTTAGGCGAGCAAGGTAGCTCTTAAGCTATCTTAACCTCTACTATATAAAGCGTAGAAATTATTAAAATAACTATACTAAAATCTTTATTAGTGTGGCGAATGGGTCTCTACCTTGGGATCACTTTTTCCACTATAGCTCTTCAAGTACTAGGCCTAATTAGGTAATTAATAGCTTATTACTTGTAGCCCGTATATAGATCTATAACTGGATATAAGATATTACGCTAACTAGAATAGGTAAGAAGTTATTAGCCTACCCACCTTGCCAAGACTTAGGTCTCCACATACTAGCCCAAAGAGGTATAACTTCTTACCTATTCTAG